CTCTTTAAAGTAGGGTTGTCTGAATCTCTATAGCAGGTTGTTTGCATGTAATTTTTTTTTCTTTTTAGGTAACCTAAATATGTGCTTCACGTAACATCTCAATTAACTGGGTTTTATTCAAGTTAATAGTTAAATTAAGTCAAAATAGACCCCTGAGATTTCATCTACTTAGCGGCTTTAAGGTTTCACCCTAAAAGCTGAATTATTTGTGGTGCTTTGTAAAATAGGGCAATAAACTGTCCATTGTTATTACTGCATGAGGATGAGACATGTAGCTTTGTGTGCAATAAGAGCACAGTCTGTCTCTTTAAAGTAGGGTTGTCTGAATCTCTATAGCAGGTTGTTTGCAAATACATCCATGACTTTCCTTAGCCCAGGGTTGATCACAGTAGTTAGGTATTCTGACACTATTTACTCTCTTTTCTCTGTCTCCCTCTCATTCTCTGTGACAGGAAGTGTAAACACTGATCAAGTGTCAAAGTCCAACCCACCAATTCTCACCTCCATTAAAAAGTGTCACCTTGCATAACTTTCCCAAATACCCCCCTAAAATGCTCCATATAATTCCACTACCCCCTCTAAAATACCACCATAAACTCTCCCCTTCTCCTCAAGACCACCTGTGTGGGACTCGGAAACAGGCTATCGATAGATCACACATTCCATTATTGATTTATTGAGATTACACCAAACATCGCATTCTGTCGCCACTATGTTCACCTCAAGTGAAAATTTCACACCGTCTTACACCACTGTGTAAAAAGGCATGTAGCCGAGTGTGGCAGAGGCTGTGACATTAACTCTTGTATTGAAGGCTGAAATGGCCATAAACCAACAGACATTACCAGATCAGACATAACATAGGAAGAAATTATTTAGGTAGACATTACATTAGAATATTAGAAAATATGAAATAACAGATCTGTATTAAAAAAAAAGTGTCAAAGTCCAACCCACCAATTCTCACCTCCATTAAAAAGTGTCACCTTGCATAACTTTCCCAAATACCCCCCTAAAATGCTCCATATAATTCCACTACCCCCGCTAAAATACCACCATAAACTCTCCCCTTCTCCTCAGGACCACCTGTGTGGGACTCGGAAACAGGCTATCGATAGATCACACATTCCATTATTGATTTATTGAGATTACACCAAACATGAAAATTTCACACCGTCTTACACCACTGTGTAAAAAGGCATGTAGCCGAGTGTGGCAGAGGCTGTGACATTAACTCTTGTATTGAAGGCTGAAATGGCCATAAACCAACAGACATTAGCAGATCAGACATAACACAGGAAGAAATTATTTAGGTAGACATTACATTAGAATATTAGAAAATATGAAATAACAGTTAAAATTAAAATATACAATATTTTTCACATTTATTTTTTGTCTTTATGTAGAGTACACTTTGTTTTGGTTATGAAATATGAAACGTTTATATTGATTATATGATGTTACTAAGCGTAAGTCATTTTTGTTGTTAATTGTGAATAGATGATGAGAATGTTTCTCTGCATATACACAATAAATTTAATAGATCACTAGATTTGTAATAGACCAATTTCATTTCAATGTCAATAAATTGATGAAAAGTGGCAGCAAGGTCTTTTATAATGTTGCAGATTTCAATTTCAAATAAATGCTGTTCTTTTAAACTTTCAGTTCATGAAAAATCCTGAAAATGATGCATCAGTTCTGACAAAAAATATTATTTTTTTAATTATGATTTCTGAAGGATCGTGTGACAAGACTGAAGTAATGATGCGGAAAATAAAGCTTTCTATGAAATGATCACTATAATGGTCTCATATTAGTGTAATAAATCTGTAATAATTAATATAAACTGAAATATAAATGGTCTGCTAAATTAAATATTTAAATGTAATAAATTCTATAATATTATAATATTCAAGTCAGTGAAAGACGTACAAATAAATCCTGCTCTACTGACATATTTGATATACAATATAAATATTCCTCAGACCAATTAATTATTAAAATGCACAATGAAAGTAGTGTAAAAAAAAATACAAATACTATTTATATTTTCTCCACATGATTGAATTTTTCCTGGCAAAATGGTTCAAGATTTTGACCCAAGGATCTGATTTTGGTTTCTAAGCAATCACTTTTCCAAAAAAGCAATCAAGTCACCTCATTAGTCCTCAGTTCCATCCATGTTCTATTGTTGTTCCTGATGGGCAGACGAGAATGAGACAAAGAGCTGGAAGGATAATGGGACAGTAGTTGCATGGCCTAAATGATTGTGACAACGGCCCAGGGTTTTTTAAGCCCTGCAGCCCTACAGAGCGAAATCAAGCATCTGAAATGCCAATTGGTGCTGTTGAAAATGCTGGACCATCAAGTCAAGGTGGGGTCAAATGGTGTCAGACAGCTTGAATACACACGCAAAATATCACTCTCTCCAGGGACAAGAATTGTATTTACTGCCCTGTGTCATACTAACCTTTCTGCTATTTTTATACTACAAAAATGATATGGGAAATATAAAATGTGCTTTAAACTCAGATCTCATGTCTCACTCTTACTACATCTTGTTAACATTATATAATCTACAAGATGTTGTAGAGAAATGACAATAGACCATTATGACTATGGCGTGACGCACAACCATCATGACTTTGGTGCTTGGTTGAAATTGCTTGTGTAAAAACAAAATAATATATGTTGTCCAAAGTGATAAATCTCTTGAAAAGTATCTGATAAATGAGGAAAGGTGCAATCAGGGGAGCAAATGGAAGAAGATTCAATCATAAATGACAGCATCAAGAAAGTAAGTAAGTCCACTTTCCATGTAGGCAAACAAAAATGAGTCACAGGTATGATAGACAAAAGTGGCAACTTGCAATCGAGTTATGATCTAACTGTTACATTATTTGCTAATAAATGATACATTATAAAACCATGTTCCTCACAATTAACGATGGAACAAGCAGATCACAAGAAAATGAATGAGGTCCAATAAATTCATATGATTTAGCCAAAACATAAAATATTGCTATTAGATTGTGTTGGGAAATTGGATTCTGAGTGGTGCAGCAGAGTTGTGTGAAGTGATGAATCACGATAAAACACGAGCTGCGTGGTGTTGTGTTGCCTTTGAAGATCTGATGAGAATTACAATAATGAATGCATCTCTAGCACAGTGACGCATGGAGGAAGATGTATCATGATGTGGGGAGCGTTTTCAACTGCTGGTGAGCTGCTTCACTGTGAAGAGTCAATTAATATATTGCAGAATGGCTTGCTTCCCACAACTGAAAAGTTGTTATCTTAAGAGAAACATTTAGATGTTATTGTTATTGTCTACACAGCAAAGACAACCAAGAAATGGCTTGACAACAAATCCATTAGGTTCATGTTTTGGCCTGATCAGAGGCCTGCTGATTTGAATCCAAGAATATATATATATATATATATATATAAAATTATTTTTTTATTTTAAAGTTCACAGACAAGGCATTTGTTAAAACAATAAATGGAGATCCAAAAAGGTATCTCCATTTCTTTCTTTTGAATGATAAAAAGAAAGCCCCGTATAATTGCACCTAACGGGCAAAAGTAACACTGCTGTCCAGATGTGCTTGCTGAAGATTCAGACGTGAGATATAAAAACGGTAATATGTAAACACCGCCTCGCGCGGCGTGATTCCTTTCTTTCAAGCCCGTTCAGAGAAACATGTCAACAAACAAGGAAAACTTGGTGTAAGTGGTCAGAAGCCGAGTTTCTGCGGGCGCAGAGGCGCGCTGTTTGCGCTGTTCATTAGACGCTTTGGTGTCAGGTGCGCTGCTGTAATTAGAAAACGCGCCGGTCAAAGAAAGAACTGTTTAACTGTGCTTTAGCAAGTACTCTGCACTGGACTTGTCTGTTAGCAATGAGCACGTAGAGTTTGCAGAGCTGACTATAATCCTCCCTTGAAAGAGCGCGTCTTTGTTCTAAAGCAGTATTAGAAAGCAAATCACTTCCTTTAGTGAAGCAGCTGCTTTTCATCTGTGGCGTTTCATGTCCTAATTGAGTAATGGGGACTCCCTCTTTACATATAGTGATTTCCTCCCATCACTGGTCCTCAACATCAGGCTTTGTTCAGACATCAGTTATGCTCCAAGCACACAAACATTTGACCATGCTTTATTTTCATGCTTTATGCCAACATAATGAATTCAAAAATGTTAAGTGACCATTTTAGGTTATTTCATGTTATTTCTAGCGGCTAAACAGCAGCTAATTATAATTCTGAAAATCCGCAGATAATAATCAGATACTTATAAATGGATTTGTCGCAAGTTAGAAGAACTTTAAATAAATTAGAAGTTAATGCAAGTCAAGTGATTTTTATATTGAGATGGGGACTCCCTCTTTACATATAGTGATTTCCTCCCATCACTGGTCCTCAACATCAGGCTTTGTTCAGACATCAGTTATGCTCCAAGCACACAAACATTTGACCATGCTTTATTTTCATGCTTTATGCCAACATAATGAATTCAAAAATGTTAAGTGACCATTTTAGGTTATTTCATGTTATTTCTAGCGGCTAAACAGCAGCTAATTATAATTCTGAAAATCCGCAGATAATAATCAGATACTTATAAATGGATTTGTCGCAAGTTAGAAGAACTTTAAATAAATTAGAAATGAATGCAAGTCAAGTGATTTTTATATTGAGATTAGATAGATAGATAGATAGATAGATAGATAGATAGATAGATAGATAGATAGTCTAAAAGCAACAGTGTGTGCGGCTTATAAAATTCAGAGAAGAGGTCACGTATCACTATCTAATTCAGTGGACTGCTGCAGCGGAAATTTACAATAGATTAGCTGCTCATCGGAGTTACTCGCCCGAAGAATCAGCGGGCTTCGCACTCAGAGTGAGAAAACTGAAGCCCAGGTGCGGCAAATCTCCTCTCCAATTTTCGGCCAACACCAGAACTGACAAAAACACAATTGGCACAAGGTGCAATACACGCCAGCGCCTGATTGAGGGAGGAGAACTGATCAATGTGTTTACATGAAGCACAGTAGAAGAGATCGCCTATACCTACTTTCATTTGACACCCCGAGACTGAAACTGGAAGTGAATTCTGATATTATCCACAACACGTAAGTGTGAGGCTGTGGTCTGCGACTCTGCGCTGTAAAACATATTTTCATCATTATGCCATAACAACATCTCAGATTCAATCTTTCAACTCGTCTCGTTTTCTTAATCCGTAAACAACTTCAAAGTAGGCCTACACTGAATTTACCAGATTGGCACCATTTTTCAGGCAATAATTAGCCTACACTTAAATGTCTGAAATTTGTTTCAACGTGAGGCCTAAATCATGAATTAGTTCACTAACCCCGATCCACAGATTATGAGAATCTGGAGTCTTAAAGACTGGCTTTCATAGAGATGCACGGGCTGAGTCGTAATGTGATTAGCCTACTAGGTTTTTTTCTCCCCTTTTATTTGACTTCTGAATGTGAGCGTATTTGTTCCGCTGTGTGTCGCATTCGGCGGTACCCTTTGAATACATGAAATAAGATGATTTGGGTAACATCAATGCACTCTCACAGGACAAATAAGATGATTTGGGTAACATCAATGCACTCTCCCGGGACGTTTCTGTGGCGCACAGCCATGCAGGAATTTGTAGTAAATCTGGACCTCCTGGCTCTCGGCTCTTGACCCCCTCTCTGTGTTTCTGGGCTACCTCCGGGGGCATGTAGTGCAGAGGGCCATTAGGATATTTGACAATCTCAGCTTGTTACAACTCCATCAGTTAATTGGATCCCTTGTAGAGCCGCTCGTTTGACTCATCTGCCACTTAAAAAGACAAAGGCGTGCTGGGGGTCGTTCACACCTCGCACCCCTGAGCAGGTATAAAAGAGCCGCTGGCTCTCCAAGCGTCATTCCAATGCGCTCTTCACAAGGTCGAGAAGATCTCTACTACGGATAACTTTTAAGCAGCTTTTTGGACTTTTACCCTATCCAAACAGAAGCCATGCAGATGCCTGGAAGAGCTTATGAAACCTATGGACAATCAGCGCGTCCTTTCCATCCGGACTATGCCACTTCATCAAAACCGAGCACAGGGAAATCCTTCACAATCGACGCTCTGCTTGCAAGGCCTGACCATACGGAGAGAGACAGAACAAGTGTGTATCGGAACATAACCAATCAAGCGCCAGTCTCTAGTTCCGCTGTCCCATTTGCGGTACAAGTGTACTCGCAAATGCCACACTTTGCATACAACCAGAGTATCATGCAGACGCAGACTGGGTATCCAATTTTCTGCTACCCGCGTTACAATTACCAGACAACATGCCGTGGAGCTATATATGCACAAGGTATGAATGTTTGACAAATGTACTGTTAGGAATCATTTTTTTAAGATATTTACTGAGATAAAAGAACAATGTTACAATGCCCTAACCAATGCAACTTCTCTCACGCACAGATGCCGTACTGGCTAAAGCAGCAGTCCACTCTCACTATAAACACAAAGCTGGAAAATCAAAGCGAATGCGCACAAGTTTTACCAATGAGCAACTGTCCAGACTGGAGAAGGAGTTCGCACGGCAGCAGTATATGGTGGGATCAGAGCGCTTCCTCCTGGCATCTGCTCTCCAGCTCACTGAAGCACAGGTAAATAAACATCAGTTATGAATTACAATTATGAATGCATTTATGTTCAAATGTAGCCTAAACTTCGAGTCCACAGAGATCAGACACTAAACTTATACTTTCTTCTTGCAACTCCAGGTTAAAGTTTGGTTCCAGAACAGACGCATCAAGTGGCGAAAGCAGAGTCTTGAGCAACAACAAGCCAAACTAGCCAAACTGGGACTCGCCGTGCCGCCAAAGAGCCCCGGGTCTCAGGGCAGAGAGGATGAGAGAGATTTCACAGAAGAGTCTGATGTGGACATTGACATCGAAGATTCACTTCAAGACTGAGAAAATCACACTCGCTGTTATTTTTATACAGTGTTTTTGTACATATTTGATTTTCTCTAGATGACACAGTCCTCTCTGTTTGTACAAATATTTAATTAATAGATATATATTTAACGTGTTTCTCTTACACACATTGCTCTTATAAGGGTATCTTTGTTTTCGTTAAAACGTTTGTATATGGATGAAATAAAAGGAAGTATATTTTTAAAACTGAATTCATGTTCTTTGTTGTGAAATTGTACTTTAAACATTTAGGGTGGCCACAAAAAAAAAGATTGTATCTCAAATGTGAAAAAACATTTAAATATATAAGTATTTTACTAAAAATAATTGGTTACATTAAAGTATATTATGTACATAAAATGTACAAAAAATATCCAGTAGCCTATATTCTGATAAATCACAATCCAGTAATCAAACAGAGTGACTAATTGTAGAAGACTACAATGCATAAGGTAAATTTATTTCACATGTACTAGGAATTTATGTTGGCATACTTGCCTACCAATGCATACAAAATACTTCACTCAGCAGTAATAATCCATTATATTGGATAGCAAGGATAAAATAGGATAGCAAGTATAAAGCAAATATCCAAATTCATACATAGTAGCTAAAATAACTGAAACCGCAAGGAGTACATATTATTTTTGCAGTTGACTTATTTAATTATCATTTCAGGCATTTTGCCACTCTTCTAAATGTTAAACCTATGAAACCTATGAATAATGTTGAATAATGTTGACAGTTAAATAATGTTGATTTTGCTCATTTTGATTTTACAAATTAACTCTACCAAAAATTATACTACTTAATTTATAAGACAATGACCTTCACAATCATAATTAAATAAAGACATAGGAAATGAGCATTAATAACAAAATTATCTCTAAAAAGACTACTGAAATGAAAACTCCAAGTGTCAAATGAGGAACACAATTAGACTGATTTGGAATTGTGTCAACTTTGCTGAAGCGACAAAGTTGGATGAGAAGACAAAAAAGAGCTTATCTGAGTTCCAAGGGCAGCTGTTGGAGCCAGGTAGTGTGTCTCTCCATTGTAGACAGAGCCTTTTAGACATGGTTGTGTCTTCTTCTTGTCACTGCTCCGCAGCAGACTAAGACATGTTAAAGCCCGTTAGCATGGCGGCTTTGTGCAGTGGCTGGTCTAATAGCCTTGATAAAGATGGATTAGTAATCCTGCTCTAAGAACACACTGATTACTAGTTAACAAACTCGTCACAATGTTTCTGTTACACTCTTTTAATCTAGTTAAGCCCTAAAGGCAACAATACAGAAAGGCCAAAGGAATCTGTTCAGTGAAAAATGTTTAATCTTTAAAATAACACAGAAACATATGATCAAAGATAAGGGAAGTCAAATGATTTAAACTTATATAACATGTCCTTTCGGACTCTTTCACCCTGTAGGTGAATGGAAATGCAGTCTGAAATAGAAAGACAGACTATGTGCATTTTAACTTTATGCTGCATGTACAAAACACCTATATAATTATTATTATAATCCAAAATTAAATAATGCATACATTTCTGAATGATAAAAAATGTTTGAAATTTTTTTTTTTATTAAAATGTGTTTATTTATTGGCCCATGAGTTGCATTTCACATGATTACTGGCTTTAGAGAAGAATAAAGCCTATTATGAGCGCACTGTCATGGAGACCTCTTTTCCTTAATCCTAAATCCTCTCCAAACAGGTACTTCTGGAAGCTCTCTACGACATGCAGCGCATAGATAAAGAAAGATAAAAAGAGAAAGAGCCTGAAAGAGCAAGAAACGGATCGTGCATCCATCTTCTGCTGCCGTCCCATCTCTCTTCCTCTTTTATTTGACAGATTTCCAGGCGTGTGTGGATTTATGTGTGTTTGTTTACATACAGACAGACTTTCTGTGATGTGATCTGGTGTAATCTCGCAGTAGGCCAAGATGTCAAACAGGGAGGGGGACCCTGGGAAAAGCCACAGGACAGAAGCAGCAGGAAAAGGGGAGGAGAGCTCACCATTCCAATTAGTCATCTCTCACCCCCACAAGCCACCTTCAGGGCCTCCGTGTGCCCCCCACTGCTAGTATTAGCACAGTGTCTCACTGATTCAGAGATGCATCATCCTCTTATCTAACACCCCTTAGGTTACAGCAGCTCCTTTCATCCTCGGAACACAGATTTAAACCTTCGGATCAAGGGATGAAATCGTTTAATAATCACAAACAAGCAGGCAAAATCCTTAGCACAGACATTAATGCATGCAAGTGTCTGTATGCAATCCTGTAATTTTACACTGAAAACGCTAGGCGCGCCGCTTTCTCCTTCTTTCCAAAGCACTCTGTAGCCTGCGCTCTATGCGTGCGCTCCCGTGGCGTCTGCCGTTGCTAAGCAACCATGACCTGCGCTCTCCATGAAGACGCGGAAGTTTCAGCAAAGGATAAATGGATTTGCTGCTGACTAGTCCTGGTCTTGGACTTGTCTTGGACTCGACAAAGCTGGACTTGACTACAGCTCTATCACAAAAAAGTCAATGTTAAAGGTTAGATCAGGTGGGAATAGCTAATTTAAGTAATTTTTGCGGGTTTTGGTGTAGTTTTCAAATATGACAACCTTCATGATTCTCACCTTTTTGCCATTAAACAGCTAGCAAAGTAGCATAAGATTTGAGTAGCCTATTTTAGCGTGGAAACGTAAAAACGTTCAATTTTGCATTTGATTTGCAGTGAAATGTGGGTCCACTCCATCTAATGGTCATTAACATTAATCACCAGCGTTTGAAGTACACGCACGCTATTGTGTCTTTGTGAAAGGTTTAGTATGTGAACAATGACTTCTAACGCGTTGACTGAAAGATGGACTGAAAGGAGCACAAGGCGAGGCCCTACTTAAAACGAGCACTTTATGCTAATGCGACGCCTTGTGCAACATTTCAATTTGGCTTTTTTTCCCTCAGGAAATTGAGACGTTCCTGTTTTCCCAAGCTTTCAGCGACAACAACGTCCATTAAGCACGACGCAAGTGCAAGTTCAAATCAAAGACAATTTCGTGGGCAGAATGTGCGCAGCTGGAGATTCCCAGTAAACACAGAGAAAAGAATTACATTTAAATTAATTTAGCCGAACTGTTTATATCTGTACTTAAAATAAGAGAAATAGTCAAATATAGGCAAGTAATAAATGCAGGTGGCTGTAGCGCATATGTTTGGGACTTTTTCCAGCTCGTTCAGATCGAGTGAAAATCTGCAGCTACTTAATGAGAACAGATTAGCTAAACACACCAAGGTCACAGGAGACAAAATGGGCGATTCGTTTTTTAACTGGAGGAAGTGTGAGCCCCGACCGAACACAGTTTGACAAGACAGATCTGTTCTTTAATAATAAAAAAAAAAGCTTCCCTTACGAAAAAGAAGTTTATGAAAGTGTGCTATTAGTATACTTCTTTTAAACTAAAAATAGGAAAGTATACTTTTAGTCTACTTTGTATGTACTTCTCAGAAATGGGCTTTATGTACTTCTCAGAAATATACTTAAAATGACATTTAAGTATACTTGACTTATACTTAGAAAAAGTCTAAATATATTTGAGCTATAATTGTGCTCCTAGAATCCGTCTTTTCAATGTTATACTGTAGGGCGCGTTTGTAAAAACACAAGTGAAGAAGAAACCGAAACAACAGATGCTTCCACGTGTAATCTAACACGATCATCAGACATAAAACAGCATCTTCAGATATTCATGTAACAAAATATATACAAATTAATACCTAAATAGGGACATAGTAGTATACTTAAAGTATGATGTAAAGTTCACTAAAAGAAAACTTACGAGTATACTTGCAGTATAAAACTACTAAACTAAAGTTTGTACTCAAAGTTTACTACTGTTATACTTAAAGTATACTTTAAAGTATACTTTTATATACTAGAAAGTGGGCCAATTTAGTCCCAAGGAGTATTGAAATAGTACACTTACAAGTATACTACTAGTACACTGATATTTGTATACTTACTACATAAAGTATACTTAAAAATATACTTGAACTTTACTTAAGTATACTTTCTAAAATAAACTTGAAGTATACTACTTTTTGGTAAGGGTTAAATGCATCAAGTCCCGTAATTTTCATAAATCATCACATTATAGATAGATAGATACATAGTTACATGCCTATATACTTAGGCTACTTGTTCTGGCATCATAGTTCAACCTTTCAGTTCAAAGTGTGATTTTGGTTCATGTGTTTCCAAAGCTATAGCTGATACTATACGTTCAAAAACATTCTAATTTCATAATTATTCTTATTTGTGTAATTGGACTTTTGACTTAAAACATTAAAGTTACTGAAATACAGTGTGACAACTAGCCCCATTCTCCTCTATGATCAAGAACAAATACAATGTCACATCTTGGATCACCAAAAGGCCCAGAGGCCTCCAACCACTTGAGGACCCCATACAGCAGCATATATTATCCACATAATAATACAGACAAAAATATATTTACTTCCTTTGTTGAAATCCTCCTTCACAAAATTTTTAAAGAGTCCAAAACCTTATTTCTGCTTACCTTTAAATAAATAATCCAAAAGAATATTAAACACGTTCATGTACGGTAGTAAAATTCATGGTTAGAAGAATCCCAAACAGCTAAATAAATGTATGTGTCATCATGTTTCAGTATATTTTTGCCTTTATTAAAATAGTAATTTCTAAACATTAGACAAATATACCTTTAACAAAATCACTTTATTTCAGAGTAAATTCAGTTTTCCCCACTGCATGAAAATGTCATGTAAAGGGCATCCCTGTGTCTCAAAGAAAGATAGAAATCCCAAAGAGAATACGCAGGTTTAGGTTCATAAATACCATCAGTGGGTTTCCCCTGACTTCAAAGAAAATATAGAATCATGTTCTCCGGTTGCAGAAAAGGAAACCCTGTTATCTGTAACCAACAGATTGTGATTCATGTATTCTGTTACTATTCAAACAAAATGTTTATCTATTTCCAGA